GCTCAATGTGAGCCACTATTTTTCTGACTGCAGGATGAGTGTACCAGTGAGGAGCTGACCTCGGAGGGGTGGGAGGTTTAGCTGGCCGAGTTTCCGCCTCATATTTAATGTCTCCCGCTCAGACGTCATATAACAGGATTTACGGGTGTTGAAAACATCGACATTATTATTTTAGAGCACTTCGCGTCGTACAACTGCCACTACTACCAGGAGAACGAGAACCACTACCACAACGGCGGCATCCACGACAGAGCCGAAGAGAACGAAAAAGAGTGTGTTTCAATTGGAACCCCAGAGCATCAACGGGTGCGACCCAGGGGGGTCGTAGAAACGCGATGCGCAGGAGCTAAGTTACCACTCCTGCGACAGCCGCGCGGCAACACTTGCGAGGCCGACCCCTGCCGGGCCCTCCTGACCGGCGTGCGGGGACGAAATGTAGTCTTGTTTGCTGTGGATGCTGGGGCGTTTCTGGGAAGCGGCCGTATTTGGTGCGGCGTCAAGACTTTTTCACCCATTGTTGTCACTTTTCCCACTTCAAAAAATGGCGGCAAACGTGCTGGCGCGTGCCAAACCCGGTCCCCCACCCGTGGTACGTCTAGCATTTGCCGAACAAGTCTGTATCTGTACTTAGTCATTCTGGCAAGGGATGGCACTATGGCACTTTGGTTCAGACTAGGGGAGCGGGGAGCGGGGCGGGGGAAGGGGGGGGGGGTGGAGCTAGTCCACCGCGTAGTTGAAATTACAGTGGTGTGGTAGCGGAAGTCTTTGTTTATAGACTATAACTTACCTGCCCTCTCAGGTAAGAATGTTGTCAACTCAGGTGCTAAGCCTTTAGACGGGAGAGGGGCAGTCGGCAGCGGTGCGGTCATGCCACTTCCCAGCTTGCCTGCCTCCCTATCAGCAGGATACTGTCTGCCCACTGACCTTCTGTTCATCTATCTCAGCCTCAGAGAGCGCTAACGAGGAGAAGAATGTAGGGCCTAGTTCAACCACTGACCAACTGCCTCAGTAAACCAAACGGGCACCTTTGAAGGTACAGGAAGTTTAGTTGGTTCGTTCCGGGACGCAGTGCTCCAAGCTTTAGCTCTACTAACCCACCAGCAACCAATATCAAGCAAAACTCTTTCAGAGTGTGAAGATCTGAATGCTCATTGTGGGATGTGGCAGCAACTCGGCCACTGCCAGCATTCTACGAAGTACATGGCACATTACTGCAGAAAATCGTGCGGAATGTGCGACGAGGAAGTAACAAGTGAGTCGAAAAAAGTCGCCGAGAACATACAAGAACTTTAATGCAAATTCCGCGATAGTCAGATAGGCGGGGAGCGACAACCATTGTGCACTCCTCAATTAGCGCCCACTTTTTGGAGCATTTCCAAGGAGGGTCGCAACGATGAGGAAGATACAATCGTTGGAAACCTCTGCCCATTTCTTCGCTCGTTTCGCTTATCGCGAAATGTGCTTTCCATTCCGTAATCTGACACAGTTCTACAAGAAGATTTTCATGAATTTGCTTTCGCTTTTGCATTCACCAATCTTCGCCCAGTAACCGCAGAAGAGGTTCTTGTCCGTGCATGTCTTTTCTTTTTCCTTTTCCTTCTCTTTCTCTTTTCGTTCTCCTTTTTCTCCTGTGCCACCTCTTCCTCGCTCCTTCTTGTTGCCGTACGGCTTTTCTGTAGTCGCTGAAATTACGGCTTTTTGCAGAACTTGCGTCAGATTACGGAATGGAAAGCACATTTCGCG